CCCAAGAAAATGTAAAGATTTTGAAGGTAAAGTACATGACCTGAATGATAAAATAATACAACTTGACTTACTGGGCTATTTACATTACATTTTAATTGTTTCCTATACTTGTGTAAATTTTTATTAGAGGACAATATTTTCATATCATTCTGATTTAAGTTTACTTTACATTTTGTTTCTTGGCATCTAACTAAACTTTAAGTAGATTTAGTGAATGAAAACTAGCACTATTGAGTTTTACACATAACAAATTGCCTAAATACCAACTGTTTCAATAGCACTCAAACAACCCAGTTGCGATTCATCTCTTAGTAGTGTTTTGTATTTTGAACGTTTATAACATAATTTTGACACCCAGCTGCTGTGACTGTTATAGGAGCAGGAAGACCACAGTGCAGGTTTTCTGATCCAGCAGAATGGGTAAAGGAGGGTCAGAGTCCTCAGTGGCTTTTGCAGGTATTTTATTTAGATTACCAGGTACACGGCAGGCAGGGGTGCTGGGGGTCCAGGAGGCTGGCAGGCCTCGGGGCCCCAGCAAGTCTTCACTCTGTCCAGGCTCCCCAGCGTTCTCAGCTTCTCTTGGCTTCTTGGCTTCTCTGCTTCTCTGCTTCTCTGTTTCTCTTTCAGTTTCTGCTGGCATCCCCATAATGCCGCCCTTAAAAGCTCAGTCTTAGCCCAGGTGAATCCCATCTACCTATGCCCACACGCTATTGTAGGTGCTCACCATCAGGCCTGCATTCAGGACCACAGGGTTCCATCATCTGATGGTTCCATCCTGATGGCGGGAGGGCAGAAAAGCCTGACATTTTTCCTTACCCTACAGTCCACCCTCTCAGGGTTTTCTGCCATACAGTCCATATATACAATTCTGTTTCTTAGCAAACAAACAATGTAGCCATGGCCCACAAAAGCAAATACATCACAATATAACAACAAAATACAACAGAACACAAATAAGTCCAGCAGGGCCCCAACCTAGTGGCAAAAGACAATTATTGGTACCAGCAGATGAGCCACCAAATCTGCTGTCAAAGGCACTGCTCATACAAGGGAGGGGAACCACTCACGGCATCTACTGTAACACACCAGGAGCCGTCAGGCTTCCTGGCCTTCCTGGCTATGGTCTCAGCCACTAGCCACACACCGCATCCACCCCCAGGATGCACTCACTCCTGGACTGGGGATTCTCTACTCTTTGGGGGTAATCGCCCAACCCTCAGAGTTTCTGTCTGTGGTCACTCCAACACTCGGCTTTCATAGCCACCAATGCGACACACAGACCCTTACACTCAGGCCAACCCATTACACAAGCACATGGGTCGGGATCCTTGGATACAAACTCTACATTCAGCTTGGGCTCCACCCCAAGCCACGTTCCCCACCCGTCCCCCAAGGACGGGTTCCTCAGTTCCTCACCCTCACTCGACAACGAGCAGGGCATCACCCACAGGTGATTTTACCAGACTCACTGGCCTTCCTCAGCTTACTTAGTGCTTAGCAGCCACTCAGGGCTTCCCAAACTTAGCATCAGTACCAGCTTTTGCCTTCTCAGTTGGCTTTTCTCCTCCGCCTAGCAGCTGGGCATCCAGGCAGGGCCCCAACCTAGTGGCAAAAGACAATTATTGGTACCAGCAGATGATCCACCAAATCTGCTGCCGAAGGCACTGCTCATACGAGGGAGGGGAACTACTCAGACATCTGTCACATGCCAGGAGCCGTCAGGCTTCCTGACCTTCTCTGGCTATAGTCTCGGCTACAAGCCACACACTGCATCCACCCCCAGGACGCACTTACTCCTAGATTGGGGATTCTCTACTCTTTGGGGGTAATCGCCAGCCCTCAGGGTTTCTGCCTGCAGTCGCTCCAACACTCGGCTTTCATAGCTACCCATGTGACACGCAGACCCCTGCACTCAGGCCAACCCACTGCACAGCACATGGGTCGGGGATCCAAACTCTGTATGCGGCCTCTCTTAGGTCCCCTCTTCGGCTTGGGCTCGACCCCAAGCCCCGTTCCCCACCTGTCCCCCAAGGATGGGTTCCTCAGCTCCTCACCCTCAATCAAGAATGAGCAGGGCATCACCCACAGGTGGTTTTACGAGACTCACTGGCCTTCCTCAGCTTACTTGGTTCTGAACAGACACTCAGGGCTTCCCAAACTCAGCATCAGCACCAGCTTTTGCCTTCTCAGTTGGCTTTTCTCCTCCGCCTAGCTGCTGGGCATACACAGGCTGCTTTCAACCATCAAGGCCCACTGGCCACGCCCAGATTCCCATTTTGTGGGGTGTACAAACGATAGTACCCTCCCCCATGATCCCAAAAACTTAACTTGCCAAAGATCCTCCGTCTTCTGGCGGGATTGTCAGTCCAAGTCCATCAGTCCAAGTCCATTGGCCTCTCCCTGCATCAGCACTGGTGAGCTCCAAATCATGGTCCTCTCTTGCCCAGCATGCCTCAGGGGTCGTTGGCTGGTCCTCTCGGGCATCTCCTCCACGCGAGGTCTCGTCCTGCAGCTCCCAGACCTTGTCCATCTGCTGTGCCGCCATGACGCCTCCAGCGTCGTCACAAGCAAACACAGTCTGTTACTCCTTAGTCCCTCCAGGTCTTTGGAGGGCTCCATACCCGTCTGCAGGGATCATCTTGCGGACTTACGCCAATTGTAGGGGCTGGAAGGACCACTGAGCAGGTTTTCTGATCCCATGCAGACCGGGTAAAGGAGGAGTCCGAGTCCTCAGAGGCTCTTGCAGGTTTTTTATTTAGATTTACCAGGTACAAGGCAGGCAGGGTTGCTGGGGAGCCGGGAGGCTGGCAGACCTCCCAGCCCCCAGCAAGTCTTCACTCTCTCTGGGTTCCCCGGCCTTCTCTCATTCTCACTCTGCTTCTCTTGGCTTCTTGGCTTCTCTGTTTCTCTTTCGGCTTCTGCTGGCATCCCTGTGACGCCACCCTTAAAAGCCCAGTCTTAGCCCAGGTGAATCCTATCTACCTATGCCCACACCCTATTGCAGGTGCCCGCCATCAGGCATGCATTCAGGACCTCAAGGATGCATCATCTATCCTGATGGCGGGAGGGCAGAAAAGCCTGACATTTTTCCTTACCCTACAGACTATTGTCAGGATTTGGATGTTTTACAATTGTTATAATGCCATAAAACTGACTCTGTATAATTGTAATGTAAACATGGATTCCTAGATCTTCCCTCATGGTAAAGTGGGACTTGCTTTTCTCCTGTTCTTGTTATTTTTTTACTTTAGGTTTACTTTTTGGAAACATTCTTAAAATTAAAGTTCCAAGTTGTAGTGGAAAAATATTTTTTTGACCCTGAACCATTTGAGTAAATTGGTAACATGTTATTTCCCGATCATTTAGTGTATATTTCCTGCAACTCAGTTCATTCTATAAAATTACATGTAGCCTTTCCTATAAGAAAATTAACACTAGTAATTCTGTTATTTAATCCCCATATTCTTTTCAAGTTTTGTTCATCCATAGTATCTTTCATAGCAAAAACAAAAAAACAAAAACATCCCGTCCATATCCATAAATTGCCTTTAGTTGTCATGTCTCTTAGTCTCCTGCAACTGGGAACAGTTCTTCAGTCTTCTCTTGACTTTCTTGACCTTAAATCTTTGAAGAGTAAATTCTAGTAATGTAGAACGTACCTCAGTATGGATTCTTATGTGTCTTTATGGTGAGATTCAGATAATACATTTTTAACAAGAGTATTAAAGAAGTATTGCAGCCCATCATAGGACCGACAATTTTTGTATGTCACCCAATGGTGATGTCAGCATTGGCCAGTGAAGGTAGTATCTGCTGAGATTCTCCTCTGTAATGCCACTTTATAATTTAAATAGTATTTCATGGGGAAGTACTTTGAGACAATGTAAATAGCTCTGCCCTTCATCATACATTTTGTTTTTTTGAATCTTAAAAATATTTTATTGTGATTTTTTTAAAAGTACATCAGCACGAGTCAAAAGTTCAATTGCCATTTACTCATGAAAATAACCTTTACTTTCCTCAATTAAGATGGAATGTGTTTTTCCTCCACAGACATGAGAGGATTCAGAAAAGCCTGAAAATCACTTACTCTACACATGACATTTGATATATTTGCCGAATTATGCACTGTATCCCATGGAGTTTATTCTTGGAAATCCCCACTCTGTGCTACCTACCTGAGCATCCTCTAATGCCCTTCACAGCTTCATTGACCATCCTCTGTGATACCTGACTTTTTGCACTTTGGGATGAATAATCTTGTATACTGTAACAAAAGAGTTGTAGTGTACATGCTTGTAGCTCCATGTGCAGGACTCTGGGAAGCAGAGCCTACAGTAATCAGTACATTATTCTGCAACTACAGCACTTGGGGATCAGAGCTGGGTGTGTGACTAGAGTCAGTGACCTGGTGACTGCAGACACCAGCTGGCCTCAGGCCATGAGGAGTGTGTGCCTGTGACCAGCAGGTGAGGCTGTGGGACTATTCTGAAGGCTCCACACAACTGTAGAGTGAGGGCCATTCACTCAGAGAAGACTGGTGCTGGTGGCTGTGCTTGGGCTTCCTGATGGGATTCACCCGCGGTGTCCTGTCTGGCCTGGGGTAGTCCAGGTACAGTTGGTTTCCCCAAGGACTTCCTCAAGAGGAGAAGCAAATATGCTTCCTTCTCAATGTGAAGTGTGAGCTGAGCTCCAGCACCAGGACTCAGGGAGGGGCTGGGCAGGCCCAGCTTGAAACACATTTGCATGCACAGCCCCTCCTGTGGCCCAGGGTGGGGAGAAAAGGAGGCCTGGGGCAGCCCAGCCCCACGTGGGGCCCAGGGGTCTGTGAGCACCATGGCCTGGACTTCTCTGCTGCTCCTGCTCCTCTTTCAATGCACAGGTGGGGGCAGGCCTCAGACACCCAGGTGTCCCTAATCTGAATCAATTTCTTGTACTTCTACTACACCAGCAGCTGCACCTTGTTCGTCCAGTTCATTCTGATGTGTCTGTGTCTGCAGGTTCCCTCTCCCAGCCTGTGCTGACTCAGCCGCTCGCCCTCTCTGCTTCTCCTGGAGCCACAGCCAGACTCACCTGCACCCTGAGCAGTGGATTCAGTGTTGGCAGCTATGCCATACACTGGTACCAGCAGAAGCCAGGGAGCCCTCTCCGGTACCTCCTGTACTACTACTCAGACTCAGATAAGCACCAGGGCCCCGGGGTCCCCAGCCGCTTCTCTGGAGCCAAAGACGCCTCCGCCAATGCAGGCCTCCTGCTGGTCTCTGGGCCGCAGCCTGAGGACGAGGCCGACTACTTCTGTCAGATCAAGCACAGCGGTGCTTCTCCCTGTGACCCACACAGATGGGGAAGTGGGACAGAAACCTCAGCCTGCTCAGGGACCAAGTCCTCGACCCTCTCCAGTTTCAAATTACCTCAACACACTCATTGTACTTAGAGGAGCTTCCAGGCCCCAGTGTCTGTCCTGCCAGTTTTCTGTTCAGTGTGTCTGAACTCTCAGGAAACACAAAAACAACAGTGCCGTGATGATACAGAAATCTTGCCTCGTTCAGTGTTTAAAAATTCTGAATAAAATGATCTGGGCTTTTTGTTTGTTTTGTTTTGTCTTTTTTACTCTTCTTTTAAATAGGCCTCAGCCTTTCTGAGCTTCTTGGTCGAGCCCAGGACCACGGCAGGTGGAGCGTCCCCACAGCATGGACGCTGCTGCCCAGGGCTCAGAGCAGAGCCCCTCCTCCCCCCAGCTCAGTGCTCAGAGCTGCCTGTACATTGTCCCAGGGTGAGTCATGAGGCAGGAGCTGTGGGGTGAGACCCCTGTCAGGGAGGAACCCCAGCCCAGAGCTGACCACCCCCCCCCACAGGCACCTGACCTTCAGTGTAAAGTCAGGAAGGGGCTAGACCTGGGGACAGGGGTGAGCCCCTGGGCTGAGGCTACAAATACTATGGGCGATGGTCAGGCCCTCACCCTCTCCTGTGGTCTTCGGGACTCACTCCCTCTCACGTGAGGGTTTGGAGGAAAGTGAGTGTGTTCTTGCTGGTCTTTCCATCCCCAAGAGTCTTGTCCCCAGGAGGAGAGTTCCCAGAGACCAGACCCTCTAAGCAAAACCTCATCTTCCTGTTCCTGATCATCCCACTCACTGGCTCGCTGCTCCTGCCACTCTCAACCAATCTCTTTAGCATGATAATGAAAGTACTAATTTTGCTGCAAATAATCTGTTCATGCAACCTTGAGTATGGGCATATCAAATGTGCTAATTTAACTGTTTTCTCCATTTAATTTAACTGGTGTCACACAGAAGTTGTAGTGAGCCTCAGAGCAAGGGTTGCTGCCTATTTTAGGAAGCACCAGTATATGTCTCAGCCCCATAATCCCCTTTTCCTAAGCCCTCTCAGGACAGCCCCTCCACAGCAGCAACATTCCCCCAGAATGGAAACATTATTTCTTCCTCACACAAAGGGAAATACTTGGGGACCACAGGCCTGGTTGTGGGTCAGGGGCAGGAGGAAGGCGGCCATGTGCTCACCCCCGCCCAGTGCTTCCTGAGATCTGCATGCCCGCAGCCGTGGGTCCTGTGCCTTGGGGAAAAAAGTAAGAAAATGGACAGATTTTTCTTATTCCTGAAAATATGAACTTCTGATTCTGGTAACAGAGGTGCTGTCCTCTCACGAGTCCTCACTACCTACAACACATCCTGCTCCAAGGTTAGTGTCTTCAAGACTCTCGTCCTTTCTTTACTCCAGCACCCAGGACAAGGGAGGGCCTTGGAGCTAATCAGCTTCCAGGGAGGATTTTCATGGCGCAAACAGCTCAGGGTGTGGAGAGAGCAGAGTGGGTCAGGGGCCCCTCAGCCTCGTCAGGTCACACAGACATACACACACACACACACACACACACACACCCCATTCTCTTCTTTCTCAGCATACATTGTCATGGGCAGAGGAGTCTGGGAGTTGCCTCTGTGCCTCCAGAAATCAGGGCTCCTCCTCTGCCCCCAGAGAGGTCCTCAGTGTCAGGATGTTCAGGAAGCTGACTTTCCCTCAGCAGGAGATCCCAGCCACATGGATGACACTTGTGCTGTATCAGGACCAGACAGAAAATATCCTGAGCAACAGTTCTGACCTACCGCCAGGTGACCAGAGACCCCAGAGTGGGGTCTGAAGGTGTGCAACTCCTACCAGCTTGCTTGGTTATTTATATTTTTTTCTTCTCCCTGTTGTTTGCTTTCTAAATAGTACTATGTGTTGGGATGTTGTGCCACTGGTGTTGGCGGGCATCTCTTTGGAGTGCTCCTTTAGGTGTGTCAGAAACTGTTTACCAGACAGAGCAGCACAGTTAGGCCAAAACTCCAACAAAGTGTTGATGCTGTGGCTGTGTTGCTGGACACTGTCCCTTACAGTTCCCTCCCTGCGTATTATTCAGTTCCAACGGGGAATCAGCTAGTTGGTGATTTTGTTCTGGTCACGAGGTAGCGCCAGAGACCCAAGCTTGCTGACCTGTGCTTTTTCCTAGTAGGTCTCTGAAAAACGAAGGGGGGAGGAGGGGAGCACCTCAACATAGGGGCTATTGCTCATGCTGGGTGCTATGTCTTCCCCGTGTTCACCTGGTGCTGTGCCTGCAGCTATATGGATCCCACGCCTTGAATTCTGCATCTAGGTCTCAGTTCCAGGGCTATCAGATCCAAAACGCTGGCTGTCACCCTGTGCAGTGCCCACTCTTATGGCATGTCTCACATCCCAGATCCTGCACCTTGCTCTCAGTTACAGAATGGGGTCTTGCTCCATGCTTTGTTTCCCTTCTTTCTCCCATTTGCATGGCCCACCCTCTCTCAGAGCCTCAGTATAGTTTTGGGATCCCTGGCTTACAACTATCAGGAAGTTGGTAATATTGTTCTGATCACTAGGTGGCGCCAGAGATCTTTGCTAGTATCCTTCTAGAACTGCATTCCCCGCCCCCCACCCCCCATAAGTCTCTGGGGAATAGACTGGGGGGGAGGGTGTGGGGGGTGTGGAGCACCTCAATGGCAATGGCGAGGGGGAGCTGTGTCTGCCCTGTGTCCTACTGTCATGGGAATCCCAGGCCCTAAATTTCATGCCCCAGTTCGCAGTTCCAAAGCTCTCAGATCTGGGACACAGGTGATAGCCCAGTTCAGTGTCCACAGAATGGTGCCTCCCAAGCCTGGGTGCCTGGTTTTTGATGGCTCCTGCGTATCTCCCCACAAACCTAGGTCTCGGTGCCGGGATTTTCTCGGTGCCGGGACCTTCACAGTCGTGATCTGCGTATGCTTTTCGAGTGCACATGTTTTTCCACACAAGCTTACTGGCTGGCCTTGTGCTATTTGCAGGTCTCTCTGTGGTGTTCTTATTTTCCTCTAATGGCACCTAGAGCTGTTTTCTCACCTCAGTGGCAATTCCCACAAAGTTCTCCACAGTTCCTGTTCGCGCGGTGTGGTACCTGCTGCAGTTCCTTTCCACTTACTGCCCTGCTTGATGTGTACTTTGTTCTTGTAGTTTCTTTTTTTTTTCTTCTTTCTGTTGCCAGCTTTGTTTGGGTGGGAGGGTAGCAGGGTTCTGAGCTTTCCTCTCTTCTCGTTCTCTTTTATGGCAACTTTCCTCTTGGTGTAACAGGGTGGTCCCCAGGAAAGAGAGAGGTTCCCTGCCCCACCCAAGGGAGGGTGGAGCTGAGCAGGAAGAGGAGAAGCTGCAGAAGAGACTGAGGAAGGAAGGAAGAGGGATGGAGCCAGGAGACCTGGAGGAGGCGCATGGAGCCTAGAGACACGTGAAGAAACTGTGCTTGTCTTTTGGTCGTGGACTGGGTGACACAGATGTGGGTGAGACCCGTGGCGAGGTGACAATGGCAGCTTTTATCTTGATGTTGATTTTGCTCTTTTCCTTCGGCCTTGTCTGGTTGTTTCTGACCCTTTTCTGTGGGTCCCCACTGGAAGATGCTTTAGACTTGTGGCAGGCTTTGGGGCCTTGTTCTGGGCCGATCCCATATGGATGGAGTTTTACCCACGAGGGGACGGGTAACTTTGGGTGCTTCATTTAGAAACTAGACTCTTTGCCTTACCTGTATTGTTTCCTAGTTTTATTAAAGTTCCTTCCCATTAAAGTCTCCTATGTTTTGTGTTGATGCGGCGGATGGCAGAACCCATTTAAAATAGGCAGGTTTGCGGGGTTTGGGCTGCCCCTTTCCCTGCCCTATAACATTGGGGCAGTTTGACAGAATCACCTGTTTATCTTCTGTGTCCTGGTTCTTGCAGGGACCTGCCCTTTTCCTCCCTATAACTTTTTTTTTTGTTTTGTTTTATGGGAGGACTTATTCACAGTGTTTCCCCAACACCACCATATTGACCTCCCTCTACTACCCTCCACTTTTTTTAAGCAAAGTAAAATAGTGATGCCAACTCTTCTTAAGGATAATTTTCTGCCCTCTAATCTGAATAAATAGTCCATAGTCAAGTACTTTGAGTTTGTTGACTTGAGACATCAAAAGTGACCAATCGTGACTTTAGTTTGGTGTGACTCCACCTCTGGAAACCAGGACTTCAACACCCACATATGTTTAAAACAGCCCAGGACCAAAAGCCAGTGCACCTTTTTCACATGTATCTCTGCTCCATGTGCCTCCTCCAGGTCTCCTTGCTCTCCTCCAAGTGACTCTTTATAGCAACTTTTTCATAAACATCAAACACTGAAAACAGCCCAAAATCTGCACAAGGTGTTTATTACAGATTTGCATCTAATCACCAAAACTGGAGTCACAAAGTGGCATTTGTGTACTTTATTTTTTTTTCAGAGATAAGATTAACAATGCAGTTACTTAAGGAGATATATGGTGATATATTATGTTGCTTAAGAGGGAAAAACAACTGAAAAGTTAAACTGAACTGGACCTCCAAAGTGAGCTCAGCCCACATTCTGGCTCCACCAGCTGGTCTCAGTTGAATTGTGTTTACTCCCTGATGTCTTTATAGTAAATACTGTTTTAAATATCAGTCCCTGTCACCCTTCAATCAGTGTTTCTGTTTGTGGAAACAAGCTGAGGGCAGGAAAGTAATGTGGACCCCTGCTCTGGCTGAGAGTGAAAGTGGGGAGCAGGAGCCTAAAGGTTGAGGCGGGGGAGTCCTCAGGGGTCTGTTTTTATTTGAAATACCCCTGCATCTCAGCCATTTCCACTCCCCTGAGGCTTCCAGGACACAGCGTTTGTGGTCTGTTCCTGGGCAGGAGCCATGGGCACAACTTTTCAGTGATAAGATGAAGGATTCCTGGGATCTAACACCCAGCTTGCTCACTATGAGCAATCATACTCTACAGAGCACGTCAAACTTGCCAAGTTAGCATGTGTGTGTGTGTGTATAGATATAGTTATATGTATATATATATATATATATAAAGTTAAAGATGTGCTAATTGACTTAATTGTGGAATCTTTTTACATTGTGCATGTATATTAAATCATCCTATTCTGCACCATAAATATTTGTCAGCTGCACCTCAGTGCATATGGTAAGCATAAAATATTGAAAACACAAACATACTTGATAAATAGATCACAGATGAGAGATAAGTAGATAGATCTAG